TGTAGGGCAGGGAGTCCTGGAGTGCTATGGTTCTTGGTGGCTGAAAGCGTTGGACACAAGTAGCAACTAACAACAAAACTGTAATACGTCAATGGAAAGGACCTTGTCTTAAATCCCTCACTTGGCCTTAGAAATATCCCTTTCCCACACAGGGTTCATGCTCATGTCCCATGGGCTGCAGGAAAACATGCCTGGCTTACCCTTTTCAAGTGACATGTTCTCATGATTTCACCTCCACTCATCCTCACTATAATTTTAGAAATTAGGCAGTAATGTTTACTCTTATTTCCCCAGAATGGCGAAATTCATTCACCAGAATGAATCAAAAATATAAATGTACTGATATAACTAAATCATACCTCATTTGAAGTTGACAGCCCTAGTCTCTGAGGAATTTATTCTTTATATCTTTGGATTTGGATTATTTTCAGAGCAGAGTGGCTTTGCAATGTTTTGTGTTTTCCTGATCTATTGCTCAGAAGTGTCATTCTTAAGCACATTTTCATTTTATTTTAATCAGTCAATCTAATAAATAAAAATTTGGCAGATATTTTGGAATGAATTTTGTTTTTCTGCTTAGTCTCTGCCTCAGTCCAAATGTGTGGAGAAGTGTCACCCTGGATTTGTAAAACGGGCTCGGAAAGAAGAACCAATTTGCTGCTACGATTGTATTCCTTGTCCGGAGGGGACCATCTCCACACAGGAAGGTGGGTGACACCAGAGGAACTCTGGCTTTCCTGTCTCTTCGGTATCAGCTGTCATCCAAAGAAGGTCTTTCTTGGAATGTGAAAGGAGAGACTAAAAAAATAATATTACTGTTTTCTCAGATACTGAAAAATGCACCAAGTGCCCAGATGACAAATATCCCACTGATGACAGAATCCAATGTATTCCCAAAAGAATAACCTTCCTGTCCTATGAAGAACTTCTGGGCATCATCCTGGTCTCCTTTGCTGTACTCTTGTTTCTAACAACAGGCCTTGTTTTAGTCATATTCCTTAAATACTTAGAAACTCCCATTGTCAAAGCTAACAACCGTGACCTGTCCTACATCCTCCTGGTTTCCCTCTTGCTTTGCTTCTTGTCCTCCTTTTTCTTCATTGGCCGACCAAGGAAAGCCACCTGCCTTCTCCGACAAACAATGTTCAGCATCATCTTCTCAGTAGCTGTGTCTTGTGTGTTAGCCAAAACAATCATGGTAGTGCTGGCCTTCCTGGCCACGAAACCAGGGAACAGGGTGAGGAGATGGTTGGGGAAGAGCTTGGCCAACTCCATCATCCTTTCTGGTTCTGCTGGAAAAATGGTCATTTGTGCAATCTGGCTGGGAGTTTCTCCTCCGTTTCCTGATTTTGACCTGCACTCCCAATCAGGAGTGATCATCCTTCAGTGCAATGAAGGCTCTGTGACCATGTTTTATGTGGTTCTCTGCTACATGGGTTTCCTTGCTGCCATTTGCTTCACAGTGGCTTTCCTGGCCAGGAACCTGCCTGGGGCCTTCAACGAAGCCAAACTGATCACCTTCAGCATGCTGGTCTTCTGCAGCGTCTGGATCTCCTTCCTGCCCACCTACTTGAGCACCAAAGGGAAATACATGGTGGCCGTGCAGGTTTTCTCCATCTTGGCTTCTGGTGCTGGCCTGCTGGGCTGCATCTTCTTCCCCAAGTGCTACATTATCATCCTGAGACCAGATCTAAATACTAAGGAACATTTAATGATAAAAGTCGGTATCTGATCATGAAGTAGTTTCTTAGACTCATAATACTTAATTATTTATTGCAGTTATTATTGAGTTTGTATGCTTGTTTTGACAATCAAGGTTATTTTAAATCAAAAGAAATAAACATACAAAGAATGTAAGACTAATTTAAGATAATTATCAAAGTGTAAATTAAATTAATTAATAATTTAAATTGTTATGAAACTAGTGAAGGACAAGATAAGAAATGAGTTAGTAATGTTAATATAATGCATCTGCAGAGGAGACAAGACTTCCCAGATTGGGGTGAGAGGGAGGGATATGACATCATCTATCTCCAGTCCTCAACACAGTCCTCTCAGCAGTTCCAAGAAGGCTCCACACCCATTTGCACTACTTAGGTGATCCTGAGAACACAGATCAACCTCCAAGTGGCCTCAATGACCCTCTAAAACAGGGGTGTCATACTCGTGGCCTGTGGGCCATATGCGTCAAATGCTGGCCCTGCTCCCACCTGGTTTAGTGAAGGGAAAAAAAGTCCCTATATGTTACGTGTTGCCACTGAGACGACACGAGTTTGACACCCCTGCTCTAAAAGGATGCAAATGACCAGCTGTCTGCAAGGAGTATAAATCCTTCCATTCCCCACCCTCCAGTCAGAGCTGAAGAAGCTTCTTGGATGAGAAGTGAAATGTCTTCAAAGAAAAACAAAACAGTCCAGATACCTCTTGAAAAAAGCACTTTTGGGACATCACCTTACTACAAATCTACACTTCAACTGTAGTCTCAAATGATGGTGAAATTGAACAAAAGAAAACAAAATAAAGGGTGAGTAGACAAGACTTTGCTGCAATGGGTGGAAATTCCATTTCACTGGGGACAGAACTTTATCTCAAATTTTAGATATTATGGGCATCAAATAAAATACCATATTTTGTTCCTTAAGCTTTAAGACCTGATTCTGTAGATAGCTTCAGATCCCAATGATGGAGCATCACAATGGAGATGGTTGATGAACTAAGAGGCAATCCCACCCCCCACATATCCAGCTCCTTCCCTCCCTATTGTTTAACTATAATTCTATTTTGATTGTAGTTTCCATTTTAATTATTTTAGAAATATTTTTCTTTTATCATTTTAATGGTATAAGTTTTCCAGAGTTGTTTCAAAACAAGATGGGTGGCAAATAAGCTGAATGAATGAATGAATGAATGAATGAATGAATGAATGAATGAACAAACGTTTGAAAGAAGTTTACCAGTGAGTGGGTGGGATCCTCTTCCGTCCATTTAAAAAGTAAGAACATCACATCTTTCCAAAGTTGTAAAAACTTTATTTTTTTGCAATCTTTTGTAATATACAGCAAAGATGTGATTTTAGAGTTGTGGTTGGAAAACTTTATAAATGCTTTGTGAAAGTGATTTAAAGCAGGGGTCACCAAACTTTCAGACCTCAGGGACCACTAAATTCATAATTTTAAATCCTGCAGACCACTAATATGATCTGCCTAATGACTGGCTGGGTGGGCATGGCTAGCTGGTCATGTGACTGGGTGGGCATGGCCAACTTAATGTCACTCACGTTGAGGGGTGCCTAGCCGGCCTCTATTACCCTCCCCTCCCAGTCACTCCTCACCTGCCTGCCTGGGCTCCTTAGGGCCCTAACAGGAAGCAGTTGTTGGAGCTAAGCAGCCACCATAAGAAAGAGTTGGCAAAACGGCTGGCTCAGTTCAAATTGGATCTGGCCAAGAAGGAGGATCAGCAGAAGCACCTCACTGAGGACTACGAGCATAGGCTTTCCAAGCAGAGGGAAGACCTGCGGGAGTTCAAGGCCAGGTACTGGGGCCTGGAGGCTCAGCAGGTTGACATGGTCAGCCAATTCCAGGCCATGATCCACTCCCACTGGAACAAGGCCCTCCGGCTCTTTACCACCAGTGGCACTTCTCTCCAGCCTTCACCCAAAGCCCTGCACCAGGAGACTGAAGCAGACCCCAAGTCAGAATTTCTGCCTCCCTCTGCCCCACACAAATGGACCCTGAAGGGGGAGACTCTCTGCAGCAACACAAGCGTTCATTACATGTATCCGGCCAAGGGGCCATAGTTTGAGGACCCCTGATTTAGTGCAATATAACAACTGCAAATAATTTTTCTGCGGACCACCAAAATTTTCTCACGGACCACCAGTGGTCCACGGACCACCAGTTGGTGACTGCTGATTTAAAGACTATGAAGTTAATTACAAAGAATCTTTGGTATGGGAAAAATCTGCCTTTTTTTTTTTAATATAAAAAGTTTTTTATTATTTTAAAACATAAACATAAAACACATCTTTTCAAAACAAAGCTCTTGATCCGGTCACAAATTCATACAAATCCCTAACAAATGTTATTTTTCAATTAATACAACTTAATATTTTACTCAGTTATTTCCCTCAAATCTATTATTTAACTATGCCATTATCCCCAAAACCCGTTACTTAAATCTTAAATCTTAACCAATTATCTTACCATTTTTCTCTTTCATTTGCTTAGATGGATATATTTTTAAAGTATATATCAATTATTATAAACATTCATAAAATATTAAATTTTATAATCAAGATGTAACAACACAGGCAACCAACCCGCTCATAGCAACAAAGCCAGCACCCCACACCTCCCCACCAGTATTTATAGAGAGATGGCAGCTCCGATCACCCTTTCCTCGCAGAAACACGAAGCCAAAGACACCAGCCTGAAGATGACAAGTGGGACCTCATCAAAACATCGCCAAGATAGTCTCAATCTTACACAGGAAAAGTCCCGAATACACCAAAACTTGCATACCTCTACCGGTGAAAATCTACGAAAATAAATATTTATATATATACACACGCATACATACATATATATATACATACACGCCCACACACACACACACACACACACATATATACATACACACATATGTATTTATATAAATTTGGGGCAAAATTCTCCAGTTTCCCACATTGTCCCATCTTCAAAGTTTGGAGGCACAACTTTGAATTCTCCCTTTGAGCACCTCCTGTTGACTCATTCAGGGCTCAGATGCTTCTCTTCCTTGCAATTGTCCAAATTATAGTGATTTTGTTGTTTTCATGTTAGGACCCTAGAGACCTTTCTGCAAACTTTCAGAACATTTTACGCAAACATGTCAGAAATTGGTTTGATATCAATACCAGTCTCAAAGCAAAGTCTGGTGGGGTCTATATTATCAATACTAGATGCATAAATGACTCTGGAGATGGAAAGGGAAGCTGGAGCTGGAATTCAGGACAGGCAGGTGCTGTGTTTATGTCTCTTGGCTGGGCTCTGACTGGATCTGAAGCTACTTTCCTGGAAGAGGTTTTGGTTTCTTCCACCTCTTCATCTCATCCATTGTTAAAAACCGGGTGCCACTGAGAAGGCTCAAATCATGTTGCTACTGCTTCAACTTCTCCTGCTTCTGTGGCCAAGGGGAGCCTGTGAGATACGCAAAGCCAAATGCCTCCTGACCCTGGAGCAGGGTGAAGTGGACCCAGACAATCACTACAAGTCAGGAGATTATTTCATTAGCGGCATAATCTCTGCAAGGGACACTAGGTTTGAATCATTAAGCTTTGAGCAAAGTCCTTCAATCAAGTTCCTTGAGTAAGTCCTGCACTGCATTAGAGCCACTCCATTTCCAATGAATGTCTACAGTTCCAGTTCTCCAAAAACACCAGGTGCTTTCTCTCCTTGATCTGCTCCTTTTGCTTAGTTACTTTCTAATTCTGTCTTCTATTGCACACTGCAAGTGTCGAAGTTCATTGTGAGAAGTAAAATTTTAGAAACCCAATCACAATGTTTGCCCCATTCCATTTCCTTTCTGTCCTATGAGCAGAGCTAGAGTGTAGACAGAGAGGAACAAAAGGGCATCTCCCTTCCACCTCAACCCTCAGCTGAGCTGGACTCCGAGGAGGCCTGATCCAACCACAGAAGACTGCTGTATTTTCTCTTTGCATCAGATATGCGATAGCGCCATTCTTGTTTATCCACACCAAAATTTACTCCTAGTTTTCAAGCATCCCAATTAAGAACATAGACATTCAGAGAGTTTGCAAATATCTCTGATTCTCATTCAAGAGTTCATGCCAGGGATCTAACAATGAAACATTTTAAAGAAATGAAAACATCATCTCTATTATATTGGTTGGGTTGTTGGATATTATCACTATTATATTTGTTTGTTTATTGGAATTCATAGACTGTGTGACTCTAGATAGCTTACAATTAAAAGAAAAAAAAAAGACAGAACAGGAAAAGACAAAAAACCAAACCAAACTCAGAAACAACAACAACAACAACAAATCCAACAAATGTCCATCCAATGTGGCTCAATTTTCACTCTGCCTCAGAGGTTGGCAGAATAATCTGGTCTTTACAAGCTTCTAAACATCATCCAGATTGAGCCATTCTCAGTAGGTTTGGTCCAATGCCACAAATATTTATCATATGAAAAATGTACAAGAAATGTAATAAATGTTTTTTTAATGTAATGAGTGGATGAAAAGTACAGAATTATCAGGAAAGAAAGTTGTATGTTATATTCATCTTTTTTTTTTTTTTTTGCATCTGCAGTCCATCATCCAATCATTATTGGAAATTTCTGCCCTTCCTTTTTGCCAATGAAGAGATCAACAAGAATGTCCACCTCTTGCCTAATATCACTCTGGGTTACAATATTTATCAAGTTTTCTTCAAGATAGAAATGACTTCAGATCCGTTGCTGGATCTGCTTTCGGACGGGGAGGCCAATGTTCCCAACTACAGATGTGGATGGCAGAGAAACACGGTGGCTGTTCTGGAAGGGGCTGAGACTGGCATCTCCATCCAAATTTCAACCTTGTTGGGCACCTACAAAATCCCTCAGGTATGTCTTTCTTGGAGGAACTGTTAGAAGATCAATCAGAATAGAGGTGGAAGGGACCTTGGAAGTATTCTAGTTCAACTCCCTTCTCAAGCAGGAGACTCTATGCCATTTCAAATAGGTAGCTGTCCAGTCTTTTCTTAAAAACCTCCAGTGATGAAGCACCTACCACTTCTGGAGGCAACTTCTGTTCCACTGGTTAATTATCCTCACTGTTAGAATAGAATAGAATAGAATAGAATAGAATAGAATAGAATAGAATAGAATAGAATAGAATAGAATAGAATAGAATAGAATAGAATAGAATAGAATAGAATAGAATAGAATTCTTTATTAGCCAAGTGTGATTGGACACACAAGGAATTTGTTTTGGTGCATATGCTGTCGGAGTACATAAAAGAAAAGATACATTCGTCAAGAATCATAAGGTACAACACTTAATGATAATCATAGGGAAACAGTCAATATAAATCGTAAGGATACCAGGAACAAGGCTACAGTCATACTGTCATAAGTGGGAGGAGATGGGTGATAGGAACGATGAGTAGATTAATAGTAATGCAGATTTAGTAACTAGTTCGACAGTGTTGAGAGAATTATTTGTTTAGCGGAGTGATGGCGTTCAGGAAAAAATTGTTCTTGTGTCTACTTGTTCCGGTGTGCAGTGCTCTATAGTGTCGTTTTGAGGGTAGGATTTGAAACAGTTTGTTTATTTATTTATTTATTTATTTATTTATTTATTTATTTATTTATTTATTTATTTCATGTATTTATATGCCGCCCTTCTCCAGAAGGACTCAGGGTGGCGAACACAAGTTAAAAACATGTACAACAAAATCCCATTTTAAACCAAATTAACTAATAAATAATAAATAATAAAACCCAGAATCAGAGTCAGCCTATTTGATTGAACAAAGCAAATGTCCAGGATGCGGGGGGTCTGTAGATAATCATAATCATAAGTTTATTTGTCAAGTATATATAAGATAACAGGTAAAAGTATAAATATTATTTGAATACATGAAAAGAGTAAGAGTAAAAAGGGATATTAGGACAGGGATGGAAGGCACACTGGTGCACTTATGCACGCCCCTTACAGACCTCTTAGGAATGGGGTGAGGTCAACAGTAGACAGTTTAAGGTTAAAGTTTTGGGGGTTTGGGGAAGAAACTACAGAGTCAGGTAGTGCATTCCAGGCATTGACCACTCTGTTACTGAAGTCATATTTTCTGCAATTGAGTTTGAAACTTTTTACCTTGAGTTTGTATCTATTATTTGCTTGTGTATTGTTGTGGTTGAAGCTGAAATAGTCATTGACAGGAAGGACATTGTGGCAGATAATTTTATGTACTATGCTTAGGTCAACCTGAAGTCGGCGTAGTTCTAAGTTGTCTAAGCCCAAAATTTGGAGTCTGGTGGCATAAGGTATTTTATTGCGGTTAGAGGAATGGATGATTCTTCTCGTAAAATATCTCTGGACTCTCTCGATTGTATTTATGTCTGATATGCAGTGCGGGTTCCAGACAGATGAGCTGTATTCAAGAATTGTCTAGCAAATGTTTTGGCAATGTTGTTACAGTGGGCTCGGGCACTTAGATCTTTAGAAATGAGTACTCTAAGGTCCTTGACAGAGTGAGGGTCATCTACAAGGTCATGTCCATCTAATATATATTTTATGTTTTGATTTATTTATTTTTTGCCAATGTGCAAGACAGAGCATTTGTTGGTTGAGATTTGGAGTTGCCACTTGTTAGATCAATCTGACACATAGTCAAGGTCTTTTAGAAGGGTAGTTGCATTGTTGGTGGTGTTGAACATCATCAGCGAAGGGAACCCAGTTGCTTTTAATATGATCACAAAGGTCATTTATGTAAAGTATGAAGAGTGTTGGTCCTAAGACACTGCCTTGGGGATCACTGCTATTAACATGTACAGGATTTGATAGAGCGCTTCCTATTTTGACTACTTGTTGTCTGTTTGACAGGAAGACAGCTATCCATTTATGTAGGAGTCCAGAAATGCCATTAGATTTTAGTTTTAGAAGTAATTTGTCATGTACCACTGAATCAAAAGCTTTACAGAAATCTGCGTAAACTGCATCTATTGCTTTGCCCTGATCGAGATGTGCAGTCCATATGTTTTTGCAATGTAGTACTTGTAGATTACAGGAGAATTGTTTTCTGAAACCGAATTGTTTGTTAGAAAGTAGGTTGTTTGTCTCTAGGTGTAGGGTAATAGATTGGTTAATGATTGATTCCATGACTTTGCAGGTGATGCAACATAAAGTGATTGGTCTGTAATTTTCAACTAGGCTAGGGTCTCCCTTTTTGAAGATAGGGATGACCCTGGCTTGTGACCATTGGTAGGGCAAGGTGCTGGTACTGAAAGATTTTTCAAAAATTACGCTTAGAGGTTTTGCAACTGCACATAGTCCATCAGGTTCAATAGATAGAAATGGTTTTAGATTGCGTAGTCCCTTTTCAACATTGTCTTCTGTAAAATCAATATGTATAAGATCATCGTAATTGTTGTAATTTTCTGTAGTATGACTGGGAAATATTGCGTATGTGTTGTTGCTGTTTACAAAGACTGAGCCGAAGAACGTGTTAAAGAGATTGGCTTTAACTGTTTCATCAATACAGTATTCATTGTTTGGTCCTTTTAGGGTGGGATGGATCTCGAGTCTTTAAGTTTGTTGTTTACAAAATTATAGAAGGCATGGGTGGATTTTATGCGTAGACGGTTTTCTTCTTGCTTGATGTGATAATTGGTGCATTCAATCTTTATTTGTTGGCATAAGTTTTTGTAGCGATTTTTGAAGTTAGCTACGTAGTTTGTTTTGTTTTTTCGCCAAAGAGATTTTTTTCTGGATTGTAATTTCCTTATTGTTATTGGCAGTTTATTTTTTTCTGGTTTTGTGGGGTATTACTGGTATGTAAAATTTAATGATTCTTTTGGCTTCATGCAAGAAAATGTTGTAATGGTCGTCAGCAGTATTATAGGTGAGAATAGATTTTGCCAATCTATTTTATAGATTCATTTATGGTCCAATTAATAAGTGGTAAGTTAAGGTTAGGGTTAGAGTCAAAAAGAGGTCAGCCCTCTTTTTGACTTGTGCAGTATACAGATCCTCAATGGAAGGCAGGTTGGTAGTAATTGTTTTTTCTGCAGTTCTAATTATCCTCTGAAGTCTGTGTCTGTCTTGTTGGGTTAGGAAGTTAGGAAGTTTCCCCTTAATTCGAGGTTGCTTCTCTCCTTGATTAGTTTCCATCCATTGTTTCTCGTCTTGCCTTCTGGTGCTTTAGTAGATAAGTTGACCCCCTCTTCTTTGTTTATGTGCAATTTTGAATCAAACACCGTCTGCTTGCCTCCAGAAGTTGTGAATGCTCCAACACTGGAAGTTTTTAAGAAGAGGTTGGACAACCATTTGTCTGAAATGGTAGAAGGTTTTCTGCCTGAGCAGAGGGTTGGAGTAGAAGACTTCCAAGGTCCCTTCCAACTTTGACATTCTGTTAATTCTTTTCAGATCAGTTACAATTTGGCTTCCCAGATTCTGAGGGATAAAACTCTGTTTCCTTTCTTCTACCCGATGCTCCCTGCGGAAGGAGTCCAGTACCCAGGGATGGTCCAGCTTCTCCTCCATTTCAAGTGGACCATGGTTGGTCTTGTTGCTCCAGAAACTAACCAGGGGGAGAGGTTCATGAGGACAATGTCTTCTTTGATGTTAAGGAATGGCATTTGTGCAATTATCTATCAAAGCTTTCCACTAAATCTGTATCGGATAGTTTTAACCCTTAGCAAATATTACAAGTGGAGAGAAGTCAATGTCGCCGTTTATGGTTCGGAGATAATTTCCTTCCAGCTTGGAATGTTTATTCTACAATGCATACTTCAACATTTTCAGGGACCTATTGTAGAGAAAGTCTGGATCACCACAGCACACTGGGACCTGAGTCTTGAGTTGATGTTTCCTAAAGCTTCCTTTAAATACATTGGTGGGCTCTTTTCCTTCCTAATACAGAAAACGAAATGGGCGAACTATGATGCTTTTAGTCTCTTTGTTCACTCAGTATTAAACTTTTCAAAGAAAACCTTTACATGTTCCTCCACTAAGGATGACTTTTCGGTGAAAGTCTGGAGGCGGTGCAGACAGAAAGAAGAACTGGTGGCTCTGAGGGAAGAGGAGATGGATCGGATCCTGGCTATGGACAGTTATCTCACTTACAGCACCATCTGGGCTGTGGGCAGGGCCTTAAATTCAGCTCATATCTCCACATTCAAGAGATCTGTGAGGCACAGAGGCATAAAGGTAGAAGCTCCAAGACTGACGGCTTGGCAGGTATTTCTATTTAATTCTGAAAAATTAAATTGTCCTGAAACTCAGATCCAACCCAACTGCAACCCAAAAAGTAGAAACAAAACTAGATTTTTTTTTTACTAAAACAGTTAATTTGACCCAACAGATCCATCTGTTTTTCCATCTGTTCTTCCATTGGGATGATTAATATATATTTCCATTTTTGTGCATTTTACAGCAGTCCATGTTTTTTTTTTTTTCAATTTCCTTGTCCAGAAGTCCTTAAAGAAAAGTCTTGGTTTCAGTTTTATATTCATGTTACAATCTTCTGTATTAAAATTTGAGTCTGGCCACTTTATCACAAGTCCACCAAAGAAGATAAAAACTTTCTCCCTTACAATTGCATTTCAAATATACATTATTTTCCAAAGCACCTGAAGGCAGGAGAAGAAGCAATGGATGGAAACTTATCAAGGAGAGAAGCAACCTAGAATTAAAGAGGAATTTCCTGAAAACAACTAATCAGTGGAAGGATTTGCCTCTAGACGTTGTAGATGCTCCATTGCTGGAGATTTTCAAGAAGAGGTTGGACAACCATTTGTCTGAAACGGTATAGGGTTTCTTGCTTGAGCAGAGAGTTCAACTAGAAGACCTCTACAGTCCCTCCCAACTCTGTTTTATTCATACATTTGAAATTCCTATATACATCTTCGACAACTTATCAGGTGTTAAATACTAAATATACATCATTTTACAAAAGTTCTCTTTTAAATTAAAATGAAGGTACAAAATGTGCCTGTAAAAGGAAGGTATGAAATGTAAAGCTACCTCAGAAACATGAGCGTATGTCAAAACTCTAATCTTTTACAATCATTGATCTGATCTACATCTTTAAACATGATTAGACTTAGACTAACTTTTATTGTCACTTTGAATGTACACTAATCGGCATACATTAAAATGAAATTTCGTTGCATACAGCTCTCAAAGGGTCACCACCTCCAATATAGACTACATAAACATGACCAAATAAATAAATAAATATGTATATATCCACCTATATTATATGACACACAGAAACAACACAGTCTACTTTGGATGTATACATGTTCATGGCAAGAAAAACGAATCTTGCAAATTTACCAGACAGATGGCATAGGGAACAAAGCTGTTACAGAATCCGGTAGTCCTGCTAGAAATACTTTGAAACCTCCTCCCAGAGGGGAGCAACAGAAACAGACCATAAAATGGGTGTGTGGAGTCTCTAACAATGCTTTGAGCTCTAAGCACATAGCGCTTATAAGTAAGCAGTATCCTGAATAACAGGAAGCAAGCTTCCTATAATCTTCTCGACTGTCCTTACCACTCTCTGTATGGGCTTTCTATCTGAGGCACTGCTGCCATCAAACTAAACAGTGTTGCAGTTTGTTAAAGTGCTCTCAATCATTCCTCTGTAAAAAGTGTTCAGGACAGAAGAAGAAAGATGCGCTCTCCTCATCCAACGCTGGAAATGCAGATGCTGGTTTGCACACTTCACTAAGGATGATATGTGGAGAGACCAGTTCAGATTGTTAATTATCTGCATCCCCAGATGCTTAGTATCTGATGATATAAGCAACTGTTATTATTCTTATGTTTATTGATACTCTCCTAACCAAGTTTGAAACTGAAAATAAAATCTGGTTTTTGGAAGAGAGAGAGAGAAATGTTCAGATACTCCCCAACATAGACCAAAAGGTTCCACTCCCAGCTTAGCTACGAAAACCGGCTTGCTGTCCTTGGGTCAGTCACTCTCTCTCAGCCCAACTCACCTCACAGGGATGTTGTTGTGGGGAAAGTAGGAGGAGGAAGGTGTGTTGCATAAATTGGCCACCTTGAATTATCTGTAAATGTAATAAAAGCAGGATACATACATATAAACAAACAAACAAATGTCCTTTCTAAACTTTTCTTTCCCTTTCCTTTCCAGCTTCACCCTTTCCTTCAAAGCCCTCAGTTTCACAATAATTCCATAGCTGGGATATATTTGGATGAGAAAGGAGATCTGACAGCTGACCTGGACATTTTGAACTGGATTGTTTTTCCAAACAAATCTGTTAAGAGAATGAAAACTGGAAGTCTAGAAAAACAGACAACGCAGGATTTTAAAGTTACCATTGACCAGAGGAATGTTGGACAGGTAGAAATGCTGACACTCTGGGATTAATATTTATTTTATTCTACTAAATGTGGCAAAAACAGGATTACAATTTTGGGGAATGTGTGTGTTTTCTTTTGTTGCTTTTGAGTTTTCATGTCAGCTGATCAGGTCTCAACACTCCAAATATCATGTTTATGAGATATTCAGTTGGTCTACATGTTGATTTTTCTGGATGTACTTCCTTTCATTCCTCAGACCCTACCGACTTCCAGGTGTGTGGAAAGCTGTCATCCTGGATTCATGAAGGTGGTTTTGGAAGGGAAACCCATCTGTTGCTACCATTGTCTCCCTTGTCCAGAAGGAACCATCTCCACCATGGAAGGTGAGTGATAGCAGGAAAAAGAGGCACACTTTTGGGAAGACCATGGCCTCTGACTTGCTCATGAAAGCATGTTTTGAAAGGCATTTTTAAAGTTGACTTTAAAAAAAGAATTTCTTTTAATATGTATAATTTATAGGGAGTTACAAGAAATAGTCTGGTAATTTAAATAGGGAGCAGGATATCAAAAACAGCAGATCAATCAAGAATTGGAATTAGAAGAGAAATGGCATTTTTTTTTCTTTTTCTTATTTATTGGTGAACCTCTGGCATTTTTTCTTCGTGTCTCTACAGAAAGATGCTCTCCTCTCCTCTCCTCTCCTCTCCTCTCCTCTCCTCTCCTCTCCTCTCCTCTCCTCTCCTCTCCTCTCCTCTCCTCTGCAATAGATTGCTTAAACTTGCTAGCTACTGCTGCATACTTCCTTTCTCTACACACTGTCAGGGTTCCACACTCAATGGAATCAAAACTCCCAGGCAGGCAAGTTCCTCAAAGTATAGATTTATTAGGCATGTCATATTCCTAATATACTATACTAATATGCCATCCCCCAGCTATCTCTACCTCCCCCCTCCTGTTCCCACAGCTTGACTCATCTCCGTTGTGGCAGCCCTGAAGGTGGAGGGGGGAAATGGCTCCAGGGCTGACACACACATTCTTCGACATTATCGTTAGTTTTCTTCCAACTCTGCATGTGAGGGAAGAATCTGCTTTATGGTAGATGTTAATCTTGTTCTTTTCAGATGCTGAAAAATGCACGAAATGCCCAGTGGGTCAGCATCCAAGCATCAACCGAGATGGATGTATTCCTAAGATTGAAACTTTCCTATCCTACCAAGAAATACTGGGGATCATCCTAGCTTCCCTTGCCTTGTTACTGGTTTTTGCAACAGGTTTCATCTTCGTAGTATTCATTAAATTTCAAGAAACTCCCATGGTCAAAGCCAGCAATCGTGATCTCTCCTGCATCCTCCTCATCTCCCTCCTGTTTTCATTCTTGACCTCATTCTTATTCATTGGCCAGCCAAGAGTAACCACGTGCCTTGTCCAGCAAACAGCATTCAGCAACATTTTTACAGTTGCCATTTCTACTGTCTTGGCCAAAACTGTCATGGTGGTGTTAGCCTTCTTGGCCACAAAACCAGGGAGTAAAGTGCAAAGATGGCTGGGGAAGAGCTTGGCCAACTCTATCATACTTTCTTGCTCTGGGGTCCAAGTTGTCATCTGCAGCATCTGGTTGTGCACCTCTCCCCCATTCCCAGAGTCGGACATGTACTCAGAGTCTTCTCAGGTCATCCTGCAATGTAATGAAGGCTCTGTTGCCATGTTCTACCTTGCTCTTGGCTACATGGGTTTCCTGTCTGTCATCTGCTTCACAATGGCCTTCCTGGCCAGGAATCTCCCGGGGGCCTTCAACGAAGCTAAACTGATCACCTTCAGCATGATGGTCTTCTGCAGTGTCTGGATATCCTTCATACCCACCTACCTGAGTACCAAGGGGAAGTATATGGTAGCCGTGCAAGTCTTCTCCATGTTGGCTTCCAGTGCCAGCCTGTTGTTATTAATTTTTCTCCCCAAATGTTACATTATTTTCCTAAGACCAGATCTGAATACAAAAGAACGTATGATGTCAAAATAAAACAGAAAATTGAGTTCTGTATATGTGTTTCCCAGAAACCATCATCCTCTTCATTTAACGACCCCATAATCCCTTGCGAGGTGGAGTCTGGGCAAGTGAATGGAGCTAGCAGAGTGTTTACTGGCCGGATGCCCTTCCAGACGCCAATTCGGAGATTTGTTCAGCAGATATATTCTCGTTGTGCCCAGAGAGAGAAATATCTGCCTCTACCTAGGATCGAACTCACAGCCTCTTGATTGTGAGGCGAGAGCTCCACCTCCAGGCCACCGCACCACTCATGTGTTTCCCAGAAATCTCAGTTAATAAATGTACTAAATGGTGTTTGATACTTTAATTTTTTTTGAATTAAATTTAAAAAAAATGAGTCATTTCTTTATGTGGTAGAAATGGACTCCCAGTCATAATAGATGTGTTTTCCCCCTTTCCTTTTGCTGTCCAGTGTATGGGAAAGCGTGTGGGTATGCATGGATGCTATGGTTGTGGGTGTGTGGATTTTCTAAAGATACATTTGAACCAGAGACCAGGAGACCTTTCTGTCGAAGCACATTTTTTTCTTATTGATATTCAGAGCAAAAGGATGGGCCTAAAGAAGGGAGGATTCCCTCCTTTTTATATTATGTAAATGTATGCATACAAGGGATTGAGAACAGAAGCAAGTGAAATGATTAGGCCTGGGCAACAGCAAGTGTGTGATTGGGTACAGGACATCAAGAGCTAGTGAGGTCCACGAGGCAATTAGTTCATAAATAAATGCAGTAATGACTCCACATCCCCCCAAAACTTACTCTGCCTCTGATGAAGCTCCTTGGATGAGAAGCAAAATGTCTTAAAGAAAAATTAGAAAGTCCAGATGCCTTTGAAATAAAAGCACCTTTGGGACAACCATGACCTGGATGAATGAGAAACTCCATAGACCTCTGCACATAGGGCCCTAAAAAACTCAGGAACCCCAGAGAAGAAATTACTAGATTAGTAAAGGACTATATGGTTTCATGCAGTGGTGAAATCCTACCAGTTTGCACCCGTTCGGGCTAACAGGTAGTAATAAAATCTACTGGTTCGGCGAACCGATAGTAGAAAAAAGCTACCAGTTTGGTCCGAACTGGTATTTCCGACGATCAGCTGTGCCGAGCGATTTATATTTGCCTTCTAGTGAATCTACAGTAAATAGCACGGCACACCTCTTCCACCCTTGCTGTTCTACTTACCTTGTTAAGCATCCTTTTTCTGCGGAAAGCATGCATTTGGTGTGCACTGTGCATGTGTGTGCACACAGCGAACTGGTGGAAAACTGCAGAGGATTTCACCACTGGTTTCATGCCTTTCACCTATATTTGACTCATTACAGTTTGCCTATTCGATGAAGCGCTCTATAGTTGATGCACTTTCCTGCATGTTTCATCTTAGCTTGGCGCACCTGGAGGAGAAGAATACTCATGTGAGAATGTCTCTTTGTTGATTTTAGCTTGGCGTTCAACACAATAATTCCTCAGCAGTTGGTGAACAAAACGGGCCTATTAGGATTTAACACACCTTTGTGTAATTGGGTATTGGATTTTCTTATTGATAGGCTCCAGTGTGTGCGAGTTGGAAGAAAAGTGCAATCTGGCTGGGAATTTCTCCTCCATTTCCTGATTTTGACCTGCACTCCCAATCAGGAGTGATCATCCTTCAGTGCAATGAAGGCTCTGTGACCATGTTTTATGTGGTTCTCTGCTACATGGGTTTCCTTGCTGCCATTTGCTTCACAGTGGCTTTCCTGGCCAGGAACCTGCCTGGGGCCTTCAACAAAGCCAAACTGATCACCTTCAGCATGCTGGTCTTCTGCAGCGTCTGGATCTCCTTCCTGCCCACCTACTTGAGCACCAAAGGGAAATACATGGTGGCCGTGCAGGTTTTCTCCATCTTGGCTTCTGGTACTGGACTGCTGGGCTGCATCTTCTTCCCCAAGTGCTTCTTTCTTTCTTTCTTTCTTTCTTTCTTTCTTTCTTTCTTTCTTTCTTTCTTTCTTTCTTTCTTTCTTTCTTTCTTTCTTTCTTTCTTTCTTTCTTTCTTTCTTTCTTTCTTTCTTTCTTTCTTTCTTTCTTTCTTTCTTTTTGCAATTTATATGCTGCCATTCTCCCAAAGGACTCAGGGTGGCTTACAACAACAATTAATAATACAAATCACAAAATCACAAAATAAGTTAAAAAACCCCTTAAAAACCATATTTAAAATTATTACAATTTGTTCAACCCCTAGCAGATCAATTTATTTGATGGAAGAGCCACGTCTTCAGTTCACGGTGAAAGGAGAGGAGGTCCGGGGCTATCCTGAGCTCGGTGGGCAAATCATTCCAGAGGGCCGGTGCTCTGACAGAGAATGCGGTCCCCCTGGAGGCCGCCAGTCAACATTGTTTGGCCGACAGCACCCTGAGGAGGCCTGCTCTGTGGGAGCGCATGGGACGGTGGGAGGAAGGCAGAAGATGGTCCTGCAAGTACCCCGGGCCTAAGCCATGTAGGGCTTTATAGGTAAGTACCAGCACCTTGAAATGGACCTGAAGAGCAACCGGCAGCCAGTGCAGCTCGCGCAGGAGAGGTGTTCCATGGGAGTAACAAGGAACTCCCGTAACTACCCGCATAACTCCTTCATTCTCTCTCTCTCTCTCTCTGATTCTCTCTCTGTCTCTTTCATTCTCTGTTTGTCTGTCTGTCTGTCTCTGTCTCATTCTGATTCTCTCTGATTCTCTCCTTCATTCTCTCTCTCTCTGATTTTCTCTCTGTCTTTCTTTCTCTCTCTCTCATTCTCTCTTTCTTTCATTCTGCCTCTCTCTCTCTTACTCTCTCTTTCATTTTCTCTCTCTTTCATTCTCTCTTTCTCTCTCTCTTTCTCTCTCTCTTTCTCTCTCCCCCTCCCCCTCTCTCTTTCTCTCTGTCTCATCTCTCTTCCCCCTCTTTCCCTCTCTTATCTCTCTCCCCCTTTCTTTCTCTCTCTCTCTCCCACTCTTTCTCATTCTCTCTCTCTTTCATTCTCTCTCTGATTCTCTCTGTCTCTCTCTCTCTCTCTCTCTCAATCTTTCTCTTTCATTCTCTCTCTGATTCTCTCTCTCTCTGATTCTCTTTCTCTCTCTCTCTCTCTCTTTCTCTCTTTCTCTTTCTCTCCCTCTCTCTCTCTTTCTCTCTTTCTCTTTCTCTCTCTCTTTCTCTCTCTCCATCTCTCTTTCTCTCTGTCTCATCTCTCTTCCCCCTCTTTCCCTCTCTCATCCCTCCCCCCTTTCTTTCTCTCTCTCCCACTCTTTCTCATTCTCTCTCTCTTTCATTCTCTCTCTGATTCTCTCTCTCTCTGATTTTCTCTCTCTCTCTCATCTCATGGGCCAGCCAGTGTCTTGGGGCTGATAGGAAGTCAAGCATCTCCCTGAGAGACCGAGGTGCGCAGAGCACCAAAAAGGGCCGGAAGAAATGGCTGCGAGATCAGCAAGAGACAAAACTTCACTCTTATTCTGGAATATGGAGTGAATCTCCATCCTCTGCCCTTCCCTCGCCAGGCGAGGAGTGACTGAGAAGGGAGAACGAGGGGTGGGGACAGCTACTGGTGGGTTCAGCTGACAGGAAGCTACAGCAGGAGGGAGAAACAGTCCAGGGTTCCCGCCACCCATTGCTTCGGCCCACCTGCACTGCCACCCCCCTTTGCACCATTATCTCATTCTGGCCAGCGAGGGCTGTGCTACAAAGATGCAAGTTGCATGAACCTCCCTCTACAGTGGAGATTTACAGCCCCACCATGAGCTGCCTGGCCAGTTCCATATTCCAGAGCTCTAGTCACAGGACTCATACCGGAGGAGCTCCTCCACCCTGGTGCACTGCAGATCACCAAAATTTTCTTGTAGAACACCACTGCACCACGGACCACCGGTTGGTGACCACTGCTCTATACAATCCCACCTCCCATCTTTCCACAGTAGAAAATGTGGCAGGCCTGAAGGCCCAAATGTAAAAGATGGCTTCCACGTCTGACACTAAGGTGTAACCAAACTCTATAGTTCTGGGTGACCTTCCCCAGGAGTCTCTGGAGACAAGAGAGTACATTGAAGGACAACACCCAGTTTTCTGGGTGTTGAAGTATCTTTCTTTAGCATCATTTTCTAGACATGTCCAGAAAGGAAGGACCACAACCACTTCAGAACAGTTCCCTCTAGGGGTATATCTATGATTTTTCACTAAGCTTTTCTCCATCTTCTCCTCCGCACATGGAGGCCCAGAAGTAGTTCAGGATTCCCAGAGGAGATATTGCTTCTTACAGTAATTATTAAAATCCTGGTCTCTGAGATCTCTCCTGATATTCCTCCAGTGATCACCTTTGATGTAAACCACAGACTGAAGCAACTTGAAAGGGATCTTGCATCAGAAAAGGATAAATGACTCAGGTCACACTTCAGATGGCACAAATTTTGGGACATTCAGGGACTGTGCTTCCTGAATGTATCTTTCCTTTCTCTCCTTTCCAGGTGAAGTTCTGTTAATCTCTCTCTCAGTCAAGGAAGCTACTCTCGTTTTCATCTTTGAATGGTGCTTTGAATTCTTCGAATGCTCTTGTTCTTCCTTAGAAACAGGAAGGGGATTGATTTAGCCCCATGAATTATGGACCTCCTCCTTCTGCTTCTGCTGCTGCTGATGTCCCATCCAGTCTCTGGGAAGCTGAGAATGAAGTGTCTGCTAAGTTTGGAGGAACATGAGGGAAAAAACCTACGGAACTATTACAGGCCAGGAGATCACCTCGTTAATATAATCTCCACTGCCACAATAATATCCCAAATAATGCTGTCTTTCAACACAGCTCCTTATACACAAGCTCCCTCGTAAGTCATTCAGTGTGATGGAGATGTATTCCTTCCATTTGCAATCCTAACATTCTGCTTCGTTTCTTTCAGTTACTCCTATATTGCAGGACCTGTTTAATTTCTTGAATCATTTGGATTTCCATGGATTCTCTCTTATGTCTTATTTTAAGAGACCCAAATCCAAAAATGGAACAACCCCGCCCCCCCAAAGTCCAAATTATTTTCCCTTCTTGTACAATCCTGAGTTAATCACAACTAGCTTATTGAAAAGTTTGTAGTTGCCTCTGCCCCACCCATTTCTTTATTTTATAACCATTCATTGATATTCAATGCCTGATCCTGGTATGGAATAGAGGATGGCTTGTTTTTAGAATGGCTTTTCTGGATCATTTATGACTCCTCTTTGCTGATGATTCTATTTTAATGATTCAATGACTTTGAATCTTGGTCATTGCACAAATTAAAAATGAGCATTATTACAAATAATGATATATTTTAAATATTAAATCTCCATCCCACCTTCTCAACACTCATAACAAGTAAACGGTGATAGGTGAATATAACTTTATTCTTTTGTTGGACACTTTTGGCTTAAGACTGAATGGGCTTGTGGAGAGAAAGAGGAACAAATGAAAATATATTTTATTGTTGTTGTTAGAGATGATGTTATCATGAACATTTTTTACAGTAGTTCATTTATTGATCCAGCAAGAATCCTAAGTTTCATTTTTGCCATTCAACAAGTCAATAAGAAATCTCAGCATTTGTACAATCTCACACTTGGCTACAACATCCATGACAACTATTTCAACACCCTGGACACTTCAGATGCCTTGCTGGACATGCTCTCAACTGGAGAAGCCAATGTTCCCAACTACAGCTGTGGAAGGAAGGACAACCTGATGGCTGTTCTTGATGGATCTCTTGATGACATCTCCATTCAGATGTCAACATTAGTAGGCACATACAAAGTCCCACAGGTTTGTGTTTTTGTTTCTCTATCTGGCAAAGTGAGCAGGTTGTTGGTGGGTGGGTAATAGATTCAATCAAATCTTTTCTATGGAATTCATGAACTGCTTTTCTCATGGCCATTGTCATGGGTAGGGATTAGGATCCAGAGTGGGGAGGAGGCATAAACATTTACTCAAGCAAGATTTGAGCAGCTGGACACAATGTTAAATAGGGAACATTTAAGTAAATTTCTAAAATGAACTGATTTGATATCTGAATTTCAATTTTATTAGAAAAGAGAAAGAGCAGTATTTTAGACCCCAGATTAGACAAATGATTATATTTAATCTTGCTAGTATTCTGCATTTTGTATTCTTTATCTTGATATGGCTAAAGGGTTAAGAACAAAAGACTGTTCCAGGGACCACCAAATTCATAATTTTAAACCCCGTGGACCACTAATATGTTTTTTTTTTCAAAAGATAAATCGTATTTAGTGCAATATAAAAAAGGCAAATAATTTTTCTGCAGACCACCAAAATTTTCTTGCAAACCACCAGTGGTCCATGGACCACCAGTTGGTGACTGCAGGACTATTCTAATATGTTTGTGAGAACCACACTGGATGTGTTAAAAGCTTACATTTTGGACTTGATCTGATATAAACATAATACACCATTCTTCATTGCTTCTTCAGATCCGTTATGGAATTGTTTCAGAGGCTCTGAGTTATAAAAGTCAAATGCCTTTTTTCCATCAGATGCTTCCAAAAAATGGGATCCAGTATCCAGGAATTGTCCAACTCCTCCTCCATTTCAGTTGGACTTTGATTGGTCTCTTTCCACCGGACACAGAGGAGGGAGAGAATTTCATGAGAACTTTCACTCCTATGCTTGTCAGAAATGGAATTTGTGTAGTTATCTCACAACAATTCTCATTGACTAGACCTACAGAACCTCTCAGAAATGCCATCTCTAAGTGGAGAAAAGTCAATGTCTTTGTTCACTTCATAGAATTTGCTTCCATTGTGGATAGAATTCGCCACATCCATTTAGCAATTGAAGGTTTGTCAGGACCCATTGAAGGGAAAGTCTGGATCACCACAATTGTGGAGAAATTGACAATTACAAGGCATACAGATTTCAAATATATCCATAGTATTTGGGTCTTTGCTTTTCAGGAAAGAAAATGGCTAAATGATGATGCCTTTCAACCCAGTCTTTTTAAGGATTCCAAATTTGAAGACCAGTCTTTTCGCTGTTCTTTTTCAAAGCATGTTCTTTCTGTCAAGGGCCGGAGACAATGCACCCAGATAGCACCACTGGACATGCAAGAGAAAAAGAATAGAATTCAGATACAAAATGACCACCGTTTTTACAGTGTTGTTAAGACTCTGGCCCATGTCTTGAATGTTGCATATTCCTCAATATCTAGGAGGAGAAAAACGGAGAAGAAAGAGAGATTGAGGGCTCCAAGGCTAGAGCCATGGCAGGTATGGGGTCGTGACAAGGATCCATTAATCCTATTTCCTATTTAGAAAAAAAATTCAGTGCTGATGTAGGGGAACAATTGTTCTCCAAAAAACCAGCAGGTTTGGCCAAGCGGAGGCCAGATTTAGTTCACAGGATTATGTTCCAAAGAGCAGGCACTGTGACAATTATATTTTTATATTAAACACTGTTATTATAAAATTGTTTAAAATGTATACATTGTAAATACATTCTTGTACTTATGTGTTTGTAATTAGCATGATAGAATTTTATACTCATAACTGTCAGCTAAACCTGGGAGCATTTCGCCTAATCCCTCCTCACTGCAGGAATCCAGTTAAAGCCTTTCAGACTGATGGCTACTCAGTCTTTGCATTTTGCTGTGGCATTTATGCTAATCCTAACCCTAACCCCCAATCCTGTTCAATCCTGACCAGCTCAAGGTTGCCTCAGCCTTCCATCCTTTCCAGGTTGGTAAAATGGGTACCCAAATTGTTGCTGATTCTATAAACCACTTAGAGAGGGCTGTAAAAGCACTGTGAAGTGGTATATAAGTCTAAATGTTATTGCTATTCAGGCAAATACTGTAGAGGGGACTGAATATCTCTTATTCACTAGTTAAGCTTTAAAATGTCTCCTCCTTTTAGGATGTTTCAAGTTGCTTTTAAAATTCCTGGATGTTTCAATTCTAGTTCCATCCCTTTCTGGAGAAGAATGAGTTTTGCAATTTTTCCTGGGAGAAACTGTACTTGGACCAAAGTGGAAATGTAGCAGCAGATCTGAATATCATAAGTTGGTTGCTTTTCCCCGAGGAGGATACCATCAAAGAGCAACTGGGGAGTTTTGAAAGACAGAGGCTTATTATCGACCAAGATGCTCTTTCACGGCTAAAGTTGCTCAACAAGGTGGTTGAAAATATTGGCAATTTTTCTCTGTCTATATGGTTGCTGTTAGGATCCCCTGAAAGATCAGGCTCAGATATTTTTTAACAGCCCATATCTGACCAGAGTTATTCATGCCTCTGTTTCACCCCACTGGGATAGGCCTCCTGCTGCTAGGAAGGTCATCCAAGGTGTTCAATCAATGTTGAACCACAATGACTTGTCCGATATGAGATAATGGCTTAAACTAGAAAAATGAAGGACTGAAAATGACTTTGACTCCCCCCCAAAAAATTTTTGATTCTTGAAATAATGTGACAATAAGGGTCAATCTGTAATGAAATGCTACTTAGATTTGGTATTTGGCTTCTAATCCATCTAAAAATCCCTTGAATGCAATTGTTTATCTTGATTGTCAGCTACCTTAAGTCTTCCACTGAAACAAAGAATTCTCCAAATTTAAGCAATAAATAAATGTGGGTCTGTCTTTCCATGCCATCTAATTGTAATTCTAATTTTGGGAGGCAGTGGAGGACAGGGAGTCCTGGAGTGTTATGGTTCTTGGGGGCTGAAAGAGTTGGACACAAGTAGCGACTAACAACAAAACTGTAATTCTTCAAAGGATACGACCTTGTCTTGAATCCCTCACTTGGCCTTAGAAATATTCCTTTCCCACACAGGGTTCAATCTCATGTCCCATGGGCTGCAGGAAAACATGCCTGGCTTACCCTTTTTTTTTAAAAAAAATTTTTTTATTTTATAAACAAACAAACAAACAATACATAATCAATCATTCAATATATCTTCTGAATACATCTTTTAAGTCTTCTTTTTGCTCCTCCAATATTTATCATATCTTAATATTGTAAAGAAACAAATAATGCATAATCAATCATTCAATATATCTCCTGGATACATCTTGTAAATCTTCTTTTTACTCCTCCAATATTTATCATATCTTAATATTGTCATTCCCTTTATTATAACATTTCCCCCATTTTTCTTACTTCTCTATTAATACCTTAATCTATCTTTTAATTATATTAAAAATTAGACAACCATTTTATCCCCACACAACCTTCAACCCCCCCTCCCCACCCCCAACCCCGACTTCCCAGAGCAAAAACAGGGTATAGCATTAAACTAAACATAACCTAAAATATACTAACTTACTACAAGATTCAAAACTCCCTCACCCTCTTTAACTCCTCTTTTAAAAATTGTTCATCAGCCTCCCCTTTTAAAATTCTAATTTAAACATTTTAAACTTTCTTTAAAGCATATCTCTTTAAGAAAATGAAAAAAAAGAAAATATTATTTTGCATCCATTCAATTTTAAATTAACCATTTTAGTACTTCATTAAGTTCTTTTTTTTTCTTTTCTCTCAAAAAAATACTTCAATAAAATATTCTTCAGAATATAACCTCAAAGATACTATTAATCCATTGAGTTTAGTTATTTCTAACTCTTAAATTTATTCTTCAAAATATCAATTTCAAAACTTTCAGAAAACTATCCATTAACTTTAAAGTTAACCATTTTAATACCACAGTCATTTTTTTAAAAAAAGCTATCCATTTTTAGTTAAACATTTTTACTTAAACTTAAAAAAAAAATGCTAATTTCAATAGACTTTTCAAATTTATTATTAAGATCCTCCCCAAAAGAAATTAATCTTCAATTCTTCCTTTCTTTCTATATTTTTTCCAATCCTTCTTCTTCAATAATACTTTCTCCTTCAGCATTGCTCCTCCCCCTGCTTTTATTTTCGAAAATTTTTGAATGTAGATTTGAGACTGATGCATTTTTGAAGATCGCTCTCTCCTAAAAGTTATCTCCTTCATTTTGAAACCTCCATTTCAACTCTTCCTGCTTATATAATCAGTCACTTCCTCTCTTAAAAATTGATTCTCCCTATAAAACCAAGAATTGTCTTGATAAAGTTTATCAGTCTGCAGGAAAGAGTCTATTTGCTGCTTTTCAATTAACTTCATAGAAGCCACTGCAAAAACCTCTGTTTTCAATGTGGTAACTTCCATCGTGTTTTAAGTGACATGTTTTCATGATTTCACCTCCACTCATCTTCACTATAGTTCTAGAAATTAGGCAGTAATGTTTAGTCTTATTTCACCAGCATGGCAGCTGTATGAATTGAAAATATAAGTATACAGATATAACTAAATAATACCTCATTTGAAGTTGACAGCCCTAGTCTGTGAGGAATTTATTCTTTATATCTTAAAAAGGATTTGGATTATTTTCAAAGCAGAGTGGCTTTGCAATGTTTTGTTTTCCTGATCTATCGCTCAGAAGTGTCATTCTTAAGCACATTTTCATTTTATTTTAATCAATCAATCTAATAAATAAAAATTTGGCAGATATTTTGGAATGAATGTTGTTTTTCTGCTTAGTCTCTGCCTCAGTCCAAATGTGTGGAGAAGTGTCACCTTGGATTTGTAAAACGGGCTCGGAAAGAAGAACCCATTTGCTGCTATGATTGTATTCCTTGTCCGGAGGGGACCATCTCCACACAGGAAGGTGAGTGACACAACAGGAACTCTGGCTTTCCTGTCTCTCAGTATCAGCTGTCATCCAAAAAAGGTCTTTCTTGGAATGGGAAAGGAGAAACTAAAAATATAATAATACTTATTGTTTTCTCAGATACTGAAAAATGCACCAAGTGCCCAGATGATAAATATCCCACTGATGACAGAATCCAATGTATCCCCAAAAGAATAGCTTTCCTGTCCTATGAAGAACTTCTGGGCATCATCCTGGTCTCCTTTGCTGTACTCTTGTTTCTAACAACAGGCTTTGTTTTAGTCATATTTGTTAAATACCTAGAAACTCCCATTGTCAAAGCTAACAACCGTGACCTGTCCTACATCCTCCTGGTTTCCCTCTTACTTTGTTTCTTGTCCTCCTTTTTCTTCATTGGCCGACCAAGGAAAGCCACCTGCCTTCTCCGACAAACAATGTTCAGCATCATCTTCTCAGTAGCTGTGTCTTGTGTGTTAGCCAAAACAATCATGGTAGTGCTGGCCTTCCTGGCCACGAAACCAGGGAACAGGGTGAGGAGATGGTTGGGGAAGAGCTTGGCCAACTCCATCATCCTTTCTGGCTCTGCTGGAAAAATTGTAATTTGTGGAATCTGGCTGGGAGTTTCTCCTCCGTTTCCTGATTTTGACCTGCACTCCCAATCAGGAGTGATCATCCTTCAGTGCAATGAAGGCTCTGTGACCATGTTTTATGTGGTTCTCTGCTACATGGGTTTCCTTGCTGCCATTTGCTTCACAGTGGCTTTCCTGGCCAGGAACCTGCCTGGGGCCTTCAACGAAGCCAAACTGATCACCTTCAGCATGCTGGTCTTCTGCAGCGTCTGGATCTCCTTCCTGCCCACCTACTTGAGCACCAAAGGGAAATACATGGTGGCCGTGCAGGTTTTCTCCATCTTGGCTTCTGGGGCTGGCCTGCTGGGCTGCATCTTCTTCCCCAAGTGCTACATTATCATCCTGAGACCAGATCTAAATACTAAGGAACATTTAATGATAAAAGTCGGTATCTGATCGTGAAGTAGTTTCTTAGGGTCATAACAATTAATTATTTATTGCACTTATTATTGAGTTTGTATGCTTCTTTTGACAATTAAGGTTATTTAAAATCAAAAGAAATAAACATACAAAAAATGTAAGACTAACATAAGATAATCATCAAAGTGTAAAATAAATGAATTAATAATTTAAATTGTCATGAAATTAGGAAAGGACAAGATAAGAAAGGAGATTTTATTATTGTATAGGACTGACTGACTGAATAAATAAACAGACAAATGTTTGAAACAAGTTTACCAATCAGTGGGTTTTTTAGGAATATGACTATTACCTAATTTGTTGGGTTGGCAATATATAAACCATCAATGTATGTTTGAAGTGTATTCTATTGTATTGTATAGCTTTAAGACTGCTGTATTGCATCATACTTTGTCCTGGTTAGCTCTGTTGCCAATGTCCTTAAGAGAGAGCTAGAAACATGGTTTCAAGTTTCGAGGTCGTCTCAAATAAATTGCATTTCAGACAAAGTCTTTGAAGGAAAACTCCTATTTATTAAGCACAACATTCTAAAATCTGACTCCATTGAATCCAACACTGGCTTCCACACCTAAAACCCTCCCTTTCCATTCCCCACTCCCCTGCACTCATTGGCCATCTTCCAAGTCATTCTACCGTAATCTACCGCTCCAGCTCAAAGGAATTTCCCCCCTCCCATCCCATATCCTAGGGGATATTATCTCCAGGGAAAATAAGTAGGTGAAAAGTCAAACGTCCCTTTCCAGGTGCCTCCGCTTCTCCTTCTTATGTCAGCACTAGAGTAAATGCAGCTTGAAGTGCTGACACATGGCTTGTTCTTTTTGCTGTTCTTCCTCTCTGATATCTCTGTATGGTACTGTTTGCAAATCCAGAAGAACTGTTTATTGGTAACTGTTAATTGTGTATGACTATGACAACTGGTGAGAAGACTTTGTTATTCACTATTGCCTGATTTATATGTGTATGACCTAGACTGTTTATTGGACTATGCTTTACTTTTTCCTGAAAGTAAACTATAACACAACTCAGTGTATCTGTGTGGTGACTGTGCTTATTCATAACTACTCTCAACCAAGAGAGTAGTTTTTCATGTGCACACCCTTGCTATTCAAGGGTTACTCTGCAAATTCCTTAACACTGGTTATGGGCCCAGGATACTGAGAGTTAGTGTGGATACACAGTACCGTATTCAGACAGCTGTTTTTGTGGTTTATTGTTCACGTGAAGATGGCACAAGAACAGTCAACCAGCATATTCCTGATAACCCGGTTGGATGGAACTAACAATGTTTCCTGGTCTATGCAGCCTACTTCTGCCTAAAGAAGGGCTATGGGCTGTAGTTCATGATCCACTGGATGTAACTGCTTGGGATCCAACAGACGATGAAGATGCAATGGAAATATCCAAATTTAACCGGGACAATGAAAGGGCTCTTTGTATAATTGGACTGACCCTGAGTGACCAGTGGCTAGTCCATATTCGTGGTGAGGAGTGTGCTGCCAGGTGTTGGGACACTTTGAAGAGGATTTATGTTCGTGATAGTGTGGGTGCACACATACACCTTACACGTAATCTGTTTAGAGCACATCTTCTGAAAGGTGGAGATATGTTAGCTCATCTGGAGTTTATGAAGGGAACTTTAGAAGAGCTACATGAAAAGGAGCTGATTTTCTCAGAGCTGCATCAGGTTCATATTATTCTTTCTTCTTTGGATGGAAGTTATGATGATTATGTGTCTTCACTCGAAGTCCTGACCAGAGATGGACTGACATTGACTGGCATAACTGGAAGATTGTTAGAAGAGTCCAGAAGAAGGCAAGAAAGAGACCAACTGAGAGAGAGACAACCACAGAAAGAAAACCTGTCTTCAACTGCCTATACTGTTAGGAAATGTTTTTCTTGTAGGGCTAAGGGTCATATAGCTAGATTCTGTAAAAAGGGCAAGAAACTGAATACTGGTAGTCAACAGAGAGGTAAAAAGAATGTTAGTTTAGCTATATCCAGCTCAACGACAACTGTAAACCATGATTTGTGGGTAGTTGACAGTGGAGCATCACAGTCTATAACTAGGAGTAAAGAGAGGTTTGTTAACATGACCAAGAGTAAACAACATATATCATTAGCCAATGGATGGAAAATGAAAGCATCTGGAGAAGGTACTGCATATTATTCGTGTATAAATGAGCATTTACCTATGTTGTATGTACCTAAACTACAATTTAACTTGCTATCTGTAAAAAGCATTGTTAAAATCTGGGTTTGTAGTAACATTTAGGGGAGATAAATGTTTGATAGAAAAGGATGGTACAAGTGTTACTGCAAAGTTAGAAAACGATTTGTTTGTTCTGAATGATGATCCATTAATCATGGCTAATGCTAACTCAGTTTACAATTACACGAAGCCACATGATGAATGCATTCACTTGCTTAATAGGCATTTGGGACATGTAAATTTTAAGATGTTAAAGAAAACGGTGGAATTATCTGATGGGATAAAACTAAAACCTTGTAAAAAATATTTAAACTACAATGCTTGTAGCCAAGAAAAGAGTAAGGTAACCCCTGCAAAAAGAGATAATGGGTTTACAACCAATGAACCTTTGGAGGTAGTGTTTGCAGATATCATTGTACTTCAAAAACCTAGTTTAGGTGGAGCCTGTTATATATTGAGCATAATAGACCATTTTTCCCGTTATGGTTTCTGTTACCTTATGAAAACCAAAGCAGAAACATTTCAGCATTTTTCAAACTGGCTGAAGGTTGCTGAGAGGAAAAAGAAACGCAAGGTTCTTTGCCTGGTAACTGACAGTGGTACTGAGTTTACCAATAAAAGTTTTGAAACTATGTTACAGAAAGCTGGCATTGAACACAAGCCTTCCGCCCCTTATAGACCGCAACATAATGGGTATATTGAATGCAGAAGGCAAACGTTGCAGGCTATGGCTCGAACCATGATATCTGATTCTGGTTTGCCTGAGTCACTTTGGGGTGAGGCAATAATGTATGCTAACCATGTCTTGAATAATGTAGTCAATTCAACAACTAGTGAACTACCATTCACACGTTGGCATGGTAGAAGACCAGAATTAAGTTATTTGCACACATTTGGAGCCCCAGCATGGGTTCATATTCCCTTGAAATTGAGGCGAAAGGGTCAACATAGAGCAAAGAAGCTATTTTTTGTTGGTTATGAATCCAACTACAGGTCATATACATAGATTTTGGGTGCCAGGTACCACTAGTGTGTTTTGCAGTGCTAGTGCCAAGTTCCTGAAGCATGTTGGTTGGAGTAAGCTTGAACAGGAATCCGACAAGGTAAATGGTAGTGTTGTTGTTGATAATCGCATATTTAGTGATACTCTTGATGATGAGAAAGTTGAGGAAGAACCTGCTATTACTGTAAAGGAGGGGGAGGTTATAGGGGAGGTAGAAGAGGAGATACCAACATCGAGTCCTGAGCTACCTAGACGTTCAACTCAAGATAGACATCCACCTGATAGGTATCAAGCCAGTGTAGTATGTCATGTGAACACAGAGCCTTCTAACTTTGATGAAATTAAACTGTATCCTCCAAAGGATCAGGTAGCTTGGAAGAAAGCGATGGATAAAGAGCTGAAATTATTCAAGGAGTTAGATGTTTACAAGAATGTTAGGCTACCACCAGGTGAACATGCAATTGGTTGCTAGTGGGTTTACAAACTGAAAACTGGTGTGGATGGGATTGTTACCCATAAGGCAAGGTTAGTTGCTCAAGGATTTGCTCAGTCAGATAAGGACTATGATGAAATGTTTGCACCTAATCAGAGGGCGAATACGTTGCGAGCATCATTAGTATGGGCTAGGAAGAATAGATATATGATAAACCATATAGATGTTGAAACTATATATCTGCATGTGCCATTACAACATACAATCTATAAGAAGAAGTCACTAGGTTTGAAAACTGATGGGAAGACTGATTGCTGGAGACTGAAGAAAAGTCTTTATGGCTTGAAACAGTCAGGTTACGAGTGGAATAAAAGCATTGTCAATGAGTTAGTTGCTATGGGTTTTGTAGCTGGCATAGCTGATCCAAGTTTGTATAAGAGAGAGAAAGAGGGAAAATTTATATAGGGGGAGGGATGGGTTCAGGTATATATATCAGTATTATTAGTTATGAGTACATAATAGGGAAGTCTGGGGGGGAGGGTTAGGGAGGGTTAGGGAGGACGGGAAGTTTGGGGAGGGAGGTGGGGGGTGAAAAAAGGGGTGAAAATGTAATTGTAAAACTTTTGCAATAAAAAAAAAAGAGAGAGAGAAAGATGGTTTAGTTTCACTATTATTGCTATTCACTGATGATATAGCAATTATTACCAAATCTGAACATGAAACAACCGAAATTGTTTCTGTATTGCAAAAGAAATTCAGAATTAGGAATTTGGTTGAAATTAAGCATTATCTGGGTCTTGACATAGTTAAAACTAGTAAAGGTTACAAAATTTCGCAAGCCAAGAAAGTTAGCCAATTGCTGAAATGTTACAACATGGAACTCTGTAAGCCTGCTAAGACACCAATGAGTCAGGATTTTAAGCATAGTAATATTCAAAGTCCTGTATTCGATAAGGAAATATATCAATCCTTAATAGGCAGTCTGTCATATCTGAGTAATTGGTCTAGGCTAGATATATCTTACAGTGTAAATCAACTGGCTAGATATAACGCTGAACCTACTGAAAGGCACTGGAAAGCCTCTAAGCGAATACTTAGGTATCTGAAGCAAACAATACATTATTTGTTATATTTGGACCCTAGTAATGACCTAGTTTTAATGGCATACGCTGATGCAAGGATCCTGTTCAGTACATTTAAAAAGAAAGAACGCTACATCTTTTCCACTTTGTAAAACCTTTATTTTTTGTAATGTTTTGTAATATACAGCAAAGAGGTGATTTTAGAGTCGTTTTTGATGATCAGGCAACTCAGCTGGGATAGTTAGAGACTTTTAAAGTATTTTTTCTTCAACATCGTCAGTTGAAGAGATTGTAAAAAATGCTTTTAAAAGTCTCTGACAATCCCAGCTGAATTGCCTGATTGTCAGAGGCTTTTTTTTCTTTTAAAAGCCTCTGACGACCCCAGCTGAGCTGTGCGATCATCAGAAGCTTTTTTTTTTCAATTAAAGGCATTTTTTCAGCCGAAGAGGTTGTAGAAAAAAAATGCTTTTAAAAATGAAAAAAAAGCTTCTGACGTTAAGGCAACTCACCTGGGATTATCATAGGCTTTTAAAAGCATTTTTTTTTGGCCGAAGAAGTTGTAGAAAAAATGGTTTTAAAAGTAAAAAAAAAATGTTGGCCATGCCCACTCAGTCACATTACCCCCACCAAGCCATGCCCACAGAACCAGTAGTAACAAATTTTACATTTCACCACTGCTGAGAACCTTTATACTTTGAAGTGTCTTTGTCTCTGATTGCGCGGCTTAGCTGGACATGGGGCAGGGGGGCCCAGGAATTTTTGCTACCGGTTCTCCGAACCACCCGCCAACATTGCTACTGGATCGGACACTCCGGTCCAAACCGGGAGCATTTCACCCCTGGTTCTCGATGTCTAACATGAATAATGAAGGGCAAGTATAAAGAAAAAAAAGTCTATCCCCATAACATACTCCATATTTACCCCATGATACAGATGGCCAATTATCAATTTCCAAACCCTTTGTCTCAAATATCACCCCAAAGTTGATATTTCTAAGGCAAATGAAATTTCACTATTGTATGAGCAATTTTAAAATCACTTCCAATTTGTGATTAATATATGGAGATCTAATAGAAAAATAAATTACAAAAAGATCCTATTGGTAACATTAGGCAGGGTTCACGGTTACAGATTTCTTCCTTAACATTAGAAGACAGGCAGTATTAGAATTAAGCATCATCGACCTAAGTGTCAGGGTTCCAAGTAACACTCCCAACGAAAGAAGACTCCGAAGCTTGAATTTCCTAAAAGTTCCATTTTATTAGAGATGTCATATTGGCACATCTGAGAAAACCCGAA